TGCCCACTTGTCGCCTGCTGGGTTCCATCTTAGTGTCTGCTTCCAGAGGACTCTGGCACTGAGAGGACCTAAGCCGTTCAGACCACGGAGGGAGCTCTCATCTCAAAACGCCAGGCACAACAGCGAGCACCCAGCCCAGGCCAGCTTCCTGAACCCAGAGCGCACTGCTCGTTCCCAGTGGGCTGCCTAACTGGACAAGGTGGCTGCTCCATCTCCGTCAGCTGCCCCAGCCGCCCCTGAGGCACAGGTGTGCTCCGGCCTAGCACTGCACGGGTCGTGCTCACCACCCTACAGGACCTTGTCTGTTTCCTGGAGGTGCGAGCAATGATCAAACAAGTAACTGAGAAAACCATTCTTAAAATGGCTTACAAACTCAGTTTAGCTTAATGTGTCCAATGCTGGAGCATTACATGCAATTTTAGCACAGTCCGTTCTTCTGGAAGACTCTGGCTGAGGCTTAGCCTTCTGTAGTGATCTCCCAATCAATATGACCCTCACTTCATGTTCAAAAAATACTAAAGAAGAAGAGAAAAGGCAGCTGTCTGTTAGGCCTACAGGATTTATTTGGTATCTCCAAAAACCAATCTGAGAAAATTTTCCACTCACTGATTTGAGCTGAGCCACCGAGAAAACAAGAAAATCCTTCTGCAAAATTTTCAATAAGATGATATTATCTAAAGACCTGAAGCGTGAAACCTGGATTACAACAGCTGACCAAAAAAAAAAGTTTGTAATGTCTCCAAAAGCTAAATAAAAATAGAACAAGTATAATTATATAAAACTTAAAACTGCATCAGCATTTCCATAATTTGTCAATGCATAAAGAATACATACATGTAAGACCACAAGTAACCCTAGCCTATGGAAACCATCAGACAGGAAAACGCCCCGTCCTGATTCTGCTCAGAGTGCCTCTGCTTACAGATTTTATTCCTTCTGAGATGTTATGGAAGAGCGACTCTTTAATTCTTTGGTTTTGGTATACTACAAAATTAATTTTTTAAAAACCAAACACGAATTCAAAATTTTACTGTCTGTAACTGAAAAACTTCAATCTAATTATATTTTAATCAAAGAACTGCATCTTACTCGTCCAGTCCCTTAATCCCTACACTGTAACAGCCAAAAGGCTGGCCTTTTAATCAATTACAGTCACGCAGACTCAGAGTGGTAAACAGCCAATGAGGCCACAAATGACCCTCTCTCTCCACTCAACAGCTAGCATAGGGCCCAGCCAACAAGAGTCAACATGCAGCTCCCGCTTGCTCCAGCCACTGAGAGCAGAACACAGCAGCGCTTTTCCTGTGGAGCCTGCTCTGCTGCTGTGAAAACTCCATCATGCTAGCACCTGCAACGCGCGCAGCCCCTACTGACCCAGCTCAAGTCCCAGTCCAGTGCCTTTCTAATGCACTTGGGAAAGCAGCAGCATATGGTCCAAATCCTTGGACCACTGCACCACACAGGAGACCTGGAGAAAGCTCCCAGCTTCAGACTTCGGAATGGCTCAGCCCAGGCTAGGTCAGGCCACTGTGGCCATTTGGGAAGTGAACCAATGGATGGAAGATCTCTCCCCTCCTCCCTCTATAACTTGGCCCTTCAAATAAATCAATAAATCCTAAAAAAAAAAATTTCATGATCACTATTTGTGCAAGAATCTGTCTCCCACTGACCCCAGAGGCAGGAGTGGCCCCAGCTATGCTGGCACTGGAAAGGACACTCAGCTGGGGAGAGCCACACAGACAAGGCTGCTGAAAGCCATCTCATGGGCAAGTGAGACTCAGCTACAGCCTTTTACAGTTCACAGTCACATCCCGCATCCCTGAACAGCTAGAGCTTACACGAGCACCTGTGGCAAAACCAAGCTCCTCCAGCACCTCTGCGATGACCACCACACTGCCCTGCCCAGCAGAGGATGGCAATCAACCGGGAACCCTAAAAATCCGTACGAACACGTGAAGACAACACGCTGAGAGCACCCTGCATATGTCACTGTGATTGCTTTTAAATGTCCTGTTTCCAGATGAGACAACCAGCCACTTGCTGCTTTTCACTGGTGAGACTTGTCACCCAGTGAGACGCTATGCCTTCATACGGTCCTGCAAATGATGTCACGGTTAGTATCCACTATCTCGAAAACAAAAAAGAAAGGTAGAAAGAGAGTGGGGGGAGAAGGGGAGGACTTATTCCACATTCTTAGAATTATATCAGCCAACTATATCAAATCTGTCAAGCAATTAAAGTTTTTAATTTTTAATTTATTTTCCTTTAAGGATCAAGTGTTTGTGATTCTGTTACATTAAACTAGACTTTTCTTAACCTCGAAATTTAACAAGGTAAAATGTATCACAAGAAAACATTAACTGCTCAAAATCCTATCTTTTCACAAGAGTTTCTCACCAAAATGCTCACTCAAGAGATACAGCACACCATGCACACTGCCCAGAGGAGGCCATGCTGACACCAAGCCTTCACCTGCTGGTGGTACACAGGAGACAGTGTTGGCATGCTGCAAGACCCACGCTGCTGTGCACACGGCCTGTGGATCCCTGCCCGGTGTCTCAAAGGAAACTCCAAAGTCTTGGATCTGCAGACCCCAGGAGAACCGTGGCAGATCCCACACCTGTGGGATGCACCTGTGGTTATGCCAGCAGGATGACTCACTGCAGGCGCTTGGACAACCAGGGGCGCTGACGAGGCTGGACAGATGAACTACGTGATTACAGGTTTGGTTTTACCAGTCGAGACTTCTGAGCATGGGAACAGGGACTGCAGACTGAGTTCAGTCAAGTGGCCGTGACTCAATGTCTGCACGGTGAAACCCCAGGAAAAGCTTGCAACACCCTAAGCTTCAGGGAGCTGTCCCACAGAGAACCTGCACTGCCACGCTGAGCAGCAACAGGTCCCGAGGACAAGCAGCTCTTCTCCATCTCACGCAGCAGTGCTGTTCATCTGGCTGGTCCTGACTAGCACCATTTATTTAAGCTGTAATAATAAGCTCTATGAGGGTCTGTGCAAACTTCCCAACTGGTGCTAAGGGCAGACAGCCTGAGACCCCAGTCAATGCACTTATTGTCTGGGGCAAGGAGAATGCTATAGACAAAAGTACCTTTCACCTGTGGGATTTAACCCAATTCCAGACACAGTAAGAACTGCACCAACATGGTAAAGGCAACCAGATACCACAGACATTCAAAGCAAAAGAGGGCTGCTGAGTACAATTCACATTTCATCCTGGAGTGACAGGGCTGAGTCCAACTTCCTGCTCATGCGGTGGGCCCTGAGAGGAAGCCAAATACACGCGTCCCTGGCACTCCCATCAAAGGCCTGATTAATAACTCCCCTGCTGGCTCTGCCTGCCCAGCACTCAGGACTGGGAACACTGAGGCAGTAAACCAACAGGCAAGAGATCGCTCTCTCTCCCCTCTCAAACACATAAACTAAAAACTAACTAAAAAGCAGAAAACAAAGTTAATCAAGAGAAAAGTAGTAGTCAGAGTTGGGAACAATCCCAACAGGTACACAGAATTAAAAATGAAGGAAAAAAATTAGCACAGGCAAAGAGACAGGAGACAATATTAGAGAACGTGGCAGAGATGGCAGCAATGCCACCAAGGGTCAGGATGGCACCCACCAGCCTGACCACCACCAACCATCTACTAGCTATCTGCTAAATCATGTACATTGAACATGATTTCAGCAATCACAATTTCAGCTTATGATCTTACCTTCCATCAGAAATAGTAAGTTTCAGGTATGTACCCAATATTTAAACATTTATTGTATTTCTTTCTCAAATTCAGCTTCATCTTAAGATAGGGTTATAAAATGCATCAAGATTTTAAAGCCGGAGCCAGTACTGCAGCAAGCCACACCAAGATTCCCGCTGCAGCACGGCATCCTACATGGATTCTGGATAAAGTTTCAGCAACTCCACTTCCAATTCAGCTCCCCAGTAATAGCCTGGAAAAGCAGAAGATGGCCCAAGTCTTGGACCTCTGCACCCACATGAGAAACCCCAAAAAAGCTCATGGCTACCAGCTTCAGCCCAGTCCACCTCTGGCGGCTGCAGCCACTTCGGGAGTGAACCAGCAGATGGAGGAGCTCTAGGTCTCTGTCTTTCTGTTTCTCCCTCTTTCTTTATAACTGCCTTTTGGTTTTTTTTTTTTAAGATTTACTCATTTTTATTGGAAAGGCAGATATACAGAGAGGAGGAGAGACAGAGAACAAGATCTTCCTTCCGACGATTCACTCCCCAAGTGACCACAACAGCTGGAACTTCTCCCAGGTCTCTTATGTGCATGCAGGATCCCAAGGCTTTGGGCCGTCCTCGACTGCTTTCCCAGGCCACACACAGAGAGCTGGATGGGAAGCAGGGCTACCGGGATTAGAACCAGCGCCCATATGGGATCCCGGCGTATTCACGGCGGGGACTTTAACTGCTAAGCCATCGTGCTGGGCCCATAACTGCCTTTTAAATAAAAAAAAAAACAAATAAATAAATAAAATAAAAACAAATAAATCGTTGAAAACATTTTAAAGCCCTGTGCTTTCTCTGCCTGGGTGGGAGAATGTTCAGCCTGCTGACCATACAAGACCCAGAAAATCATTTGGTCTGGACCAATATCAAGCCAACCAAAGGGAACACTTGAAATTCAATCAGTAGCAAGATCATTTTTAAGCTGGTAAGTTCATTGGCACACAAATAATGTTCCACATATCCAAATGGCCCTTGGCAGAAAAAAGTTGGTCCACCTCCAATGAACAAGAATGTTCTGAACACTCAGAAAGCAAATATGCCTCTCAAATCATCAAATGTGACACCTCGACTTTGAGCAATAAACTAGTTCAGTTACACACTGCATCAAGGTGAAGAGGTCAGCTTCAACTATGGTTCTGAAATTTTTAGAAAAGATGGATCAGGCATCAAGTTATTTGTAATATAACATTCCCTGAAACTGTCTCCAAACAGCAGTCAATCAAAAAACCCTACAATATCTTACCGGTAGTCATCCAACTGCACCAGGAAGCGCACGATGTCGCGGTGAGCTCTCAGCACCAGCAGCTCTGTGTAGGGGTTCTGGGTCTGCTCTTCACCCACTGACTGGAAGGGAGATTTCTGGTGTTGCAGAAAAGCAAAAACAAAACAGGTAAGAGTTTAGGATTAAAGATCATACTGGGCTATAACTACATGGTATACATATAATACAAAATTCCAGAGGCCACAGCATACCATGTTTAACACTAAACACTATGTCCCCTGACATCAACTAAGTAACTGCCAATTCCACAGAAACCTTCTCGTGTCACAAATTCACATAACAAATTTTAGTGGTTGAAGTCACAGTAAACTTACCAAAAAGGTGAATGTTATTTTAGTAATTTTTATCTTAATAAATCTGACTTAAAAGCTAATTGACCAATTAAATAATTTTAGAGTGAACAATTCACAAATAATGCTTAGAAAAACAAAAATGCAAATCAAAGTGGTACAATACATGCCAACCCATCACAGAAACTCAGTCTGTGTCTGCCGAATGCCCAAGGAGGGCACGGAACCCCTCACACTGCAGGAGCCCACAACACAGACGGCCGCGACCTGACAGCAGGACTCCAGAAACCCAGATCTGGGACCTTCGACAGTCAAACGCTGACACACCTTGGAGACACCCAGGACTAAACACAAAATTCGTATCTTACACACAAAGCCTGTAGTTAGTTTTATTCAATACTTTTTATGCATCTCTTTTTTGACTACTATTTAACACAGAAGGTTATGTGCGGAATTTTCCACCAATGATGTCATGTTCATACTCACAGAGTTTCAGATTTTGTATTAGGAATGCACAACGGGTATCAACAAGTTAGTTGCTAACCTTCAGAGGACCAGAGGCCCTGTGAGGGCCCACAGCAAAGGGCCTTCTGAGCACACGGGGAAGTGCTCTCAACACCGCACTAGTATGACAAAAACCTGTTCTTCACCTCTCACCAGAGCTCCCCAATCTGACCCAACTTTCGTTCCAGATCATTCCGTGGGTGGCTGCAGGGTGCTGAACAGCAAGCCCAGAAAGCGACCCCACGTACAAGGGGACCACCTCCAGACCCTGCCAATGTCCCCAGGACAGCACGTGGAGCTTGAGCCCGGCTGAGGCAAAGCCAGAGGTCCTCGGAGGTGACCCAAGTGCCCTATGCCGGGACACAAACCCACGTGCCCACCCGCCCACAGCAGGAATCCCACAAGCGTCCTGCCCCCGCCACCCCACAGGGAGCAGTACACTCCCCCAGAGGGGAGCAGGCTCGCGCATCACACGCGCAGGGACCTCCAACTGCACCCCGAGACCTTCAAACTAACTTCAGACAGCACATGGTTTGTAAAGGTTAACAGCGAAGCACCCCACGAGGGCCCCGTTCCACAGACGGTTCTGGGGGTCCGGTGCCCAGCACCCGCGGGAGGCCGGCAGGGGTCCGGCCCAGCCCTAGCCTTTGCTGCCCACTTGGGGAGGAACTCTCTGCCTCTCTCCCTGTAACCCACTTCCAAAGAGCTGATGCACGGCAGGATGAGGAAGCAGGGCTGCCTTCTCAGGCGACGCAAGCACTTCCCACACACGGCACGCCCAGCCCCCGGCCGGCCCTCCCCGGCCCTCGGCTCCCTTACCTCGGCCAGCCCCGGGGGCTCCCGGCCGGCCCCGAGCAGCCAGCGCAGCATGCCGGCGCTCAGCCCTCAGCGCCCCTCAGCCCGGAGGCCCCTCAGCGCCCCTCAGCACGGAGGCCCCTCAGCGCCTCATCCCCCTCAGAGGCCCAGGGGCCGCTGCGCACAGTGAGCATGCGCGGCTGTAGCGGCCCCTGGCGGCCGAGCGCGGCGCCGCAGGGCCAGGCGCGCCGCCCGAGCCGGAATCCCGCTGCGCGCGCACCCGACCTGCGCCCTGAGCCAGCCCTCCCGGCAGCCCAGCGCCCTGAGGAAGCTCGGGCGGCCCTGGGCTGACACTGATGGCGGGCACTGCCTGGTGGACCCCGGGTAGGCTCTCCACAGACAACCGCCGCCATTTCCCCAGCGGGGACTGACACGGTGGCTGTACATTCCCTGGACCTTCTGGGGTGGCTGACTGCAGAGGGAGGGCTCGAGCAGTGCAGGTGGGCGTTACTGCTCACATTCCAGAAGTTCAGACGTGAATCTGCCAATGGAGAGCCTCCAGTAAGCTGTGTCAGGGCGCCCGGCAAGGCATTCGTACCACACACGTAGCGTGCACGGATGCAGGAAACCACCCTTCTCTAAGCAGCAGGCTGCCGACATCAACAAGCGCACCAACCGCCCCACTGCAGAATAGGCTGGCCTGGCCCGCTGCCCTACTGCCTGCCCCTACAGAGCGGGCTCTCCCGGATTCTCAGGATCTTGTATTAATTTTTGACACACTTGTCACACTCAATCCTTAAAAGCACAAGTTCAAAAATAAACATTTCCAGCTCCCTGCTTTTGGTCTGGGAAAACAGTCGAGGATAGCCCAAAGCCACAGGACCCTGCACCTGTGTTGGAGACCTGGAAGAAGTTCCTGGCTTCGGACTGGCTCAGTCCAGCTTTTGCAGCCACATGGGGAGTGAATCAGCAGACGGAAGATCTTTCTCTCTCTGTCTCTCCTCCTCTGTATATCTGACTTTCCAATAAAAATAAATAAATGTTTTTAAAAATTTTGGCAGGGGGAATCCACATAGCACATTAACCTTCTACCTGAAGCACCAGCATCTTGCACTGCTTCGAGTTCCAGCTGCTCCACTTCCCATCCAGCTCCCTGCTTATGGCCTGGGAAAGCAGTGGGGGATGGCTGAAGTCCCTGGGCCCCGGCACGCATGTGGGAGACCTGGAAGAAGCTCCTGGCTCCTAGCTACAAGCTTCCGATCAGCCCAGCTCTGGTCACTGCGGCCATTCAAGGAGTGAACCAACAACAGCTCCTAAGTGCAGACACGGGACACCACTACTGTGCCTTTAGCTGGACACAATGAGGAGAAGCTGAAATGCATTTGTGTCTGCCAAGTTGTTCATCTGGAGTCACCTGGCAGGCCACAAGCTGCCCATGCCAGGCTCCATGACGCAGACAACAGCCCAGCCTAGCACTTCTTCAGAGCCTCAGGTGACTGTAAGGTGCAACCAAACTTTAAAAAAGCCATGCTGGAGGCACTTACAGAAAATACCAGGAACAGACTCTTAGAGACAAGGTGAAGTAGAGATCAATAGGCTGGCGATGGGGTAACATGGTCCAGAGTTCATGCTGAGTATATGAAAAAATTTCATGTAGAAAATGGTGATGGGCAGCTGGAATGGCACCAACAAACCCAACACGTACGAAGCATAAACCCTGAAGTCTACACCAGCACCCATACCCAAGTACCAGTCTGACCCAGTTCCCAGCTAGCTAACGTACCACCAGGGCACCAGCAGGAATGCAGCTCTCTGACCCCAGCCTTCTGAACAACCCTACACCAGCATGTCTCTCCCTCCGCTTCTCCCCAGCCCAAATCTAGTGTAGCTACCAGTGAGTGAGCAGGAGGGCACACACAGGAGATGCCCTCGGCTTGCAGCAAGCTACCAGTGAGTGAGCAGGAGGGCACACACAGGAGATGCCCTCGGCTTGCAGCAAGCTACCAGTGAGTGAGCAGGCAGGGACACACAGGAGATGCACTCGGCTTGCAGCAGAGGAAGGAGGAACCCCCCTCCCCCGACTCTCGGCCCGGGCAGGACTCCACAGCCACCAAGCCTCCCAGAACCCAGGCCTGGGCTTCCCCACCACTCGCCAGCCACGAGCAGCGACAGCCTGGCCCAAGCAGGGCTGTGAAAGCCATTTGGGGAGGGAATCGGTGAACAGAAGAGTCTCTTTCTCTTCATCTTTACATGTCTGTGTGACACTCTCTTCCAAATAAACCCAAAAATTAAAAACACTCACATGGAAATGAGTGAACACTTCTGAAGCAAACATTAAAAAAGGAAGATATCAGCAAGGACATAAAAGAGAACCGGATGGAAAATTCTGAGTTGGAAACACAGGACAGCCCAACTGAAGGGGGGCGCTCAGCAGCGCCTGGGGTCCCTGCAGTGTGGTCCCCGCTCTTTCTGGACCTGACACACCTCAGTCCTCGCCGGGTAAGCCTTGCCACCTCAGCTTCCGTCACCCTCGAAGCACGATTTCCTTCAGGTAGTCCAAAGTATTGGTGCAGTCTGCTTGGCACCTCTTCTCCGGGCAGTCGGGGCCGTCCCAGGCAGGCCTGTTGCCGCTGCTTTTGTCTCACTGTTGGCTACACTGCCTCTTTCCTGCTTGTGTCCTGAGCTGGGTAATCGACCGTACACAGTGGGTGTTAGTCACCCCTCTGGAGCTCATCAGTGTTGCTCTTTGCTGTTCATTTATCTAGTAGCCAATCTCTCTCTCTCTCTCTCTCTCTCTCTCTCTCTCACACACACACACACACACACACACACACACACACGGCATGAAGCTTTGCTGCCATCACAGCATGGCCCCCGGCAGCACCAACGTGAGCAGCACTTCCTTCAGTGCCTCTCTCCTGTTCCTCTTTTCCGCCTCCACGGCTTCACCTGTGACAGCATCCTGGGCTGGAAAGGCCCCTCAGTGGACCCAGCTCGCTCCAGGCAGGGATGGTCTGAAGCCCAGGGTCTGAAGTTCCATCTGTCTCCATATCCCTGTTTCCTCCAATATGTTGGCTGACCCACAATTTTGCTTGTTTTCAATGTGGTGTCCTAACCAGTCACACCTCAGATATAGAAGACCAATTCACTCATCCCGGGGACCTGCCTCTTGGCCGCAGTCTAAACTGCTGGCTTCCTAGGCTACACAGCAGTCACCACCCATGGCAAGAGCCAGCTGCCGAGACCCAGTTCTGCTGTTGAGCATCTAACCAAGAGAAATAAAGCCACACACCTACACAGAATGCACACAGGCACGCGGAGCACCACCCTTCACAACAGCCACCGGGGGCCACTCAAGCATCCCAATGGGTGGAAGCGTGCACCACACACCACACCCCTCTGGGGGAGGTGGGCCTGGATGCGCACGTGCAGGTGAACTCTGAACACACGGTGCCAAGCGGAAGCACCCAGTCACCAATGCCAGCTCTGACTGCAGACACAGGGACCTACAGACAGCAGCAGGCGAGTGTGTGCTTGGGTCTGGAGGCAGAAGTGCAGGCTCACTGAAGGAAGTGGATCCCAGGACTGTGGCCAACAGTCCACACCCTATAGATGTGCTGAAGCTCTGCGTGACACACGTCAGCGGGTGGGATCTGTCTGAGCTCAGGGAAGCTGCTGGAGGCGCTGACTCAAAGCCCGAAGCTGACCCTGATGATGTCATCCAGGCTAGTTCCCTACAGAATTCCTTCCTAACCCCTGGGCTGGGCTGGGCTGGGGTCCCCTGGCATTCCCAACCCAATCACTACACTGGGCCCCCCAGGGTTGGATCAGGTCACTCCTGAATTAATCCACAGAGAATGAGTGAACCCCTAAATTCAGCAAAGTTCTGTCCTCAGGAATAGACACTCTCAGACATCAGTCCTCCCACTGTCCTGGGCAACACTTACAGATTGGCAGGATCAAGAGTTACGTGTTCCAGATAAACAAACCAAGAGGCAAAGACATCACATGAACATGGCTTACGTCACCTGGCGCCCAGACCTAAACCCAGGTTTTTAAATAAAACTTCCAAAGCCTTGTCCCTGCCCAACAGGATTCATATTCAACAAGGTATTACTTAAAATCCCCAGATGACATTGAAGAGCCCCCAGACCACGGTCTTATTTAACGTTCTCCCTCAGGCAGACAGCTCATCCCGCCCTGCTCCAGCGTCCCCTGCGCTCTGACAGGGAGCTGTCTGGCCCAGGATGCGGCATCCCTACTAAAGCGCCTGCTGGGTGCTTCATGGAATTCAGCAGAATGCAATAGCCTTTTAAACTGAGTTCTCTCTCTCTAATGGCCTTTCATTCATAATTACGCTGTTTGTAATGAGTACACTGGTGATGACAGAAATCCACCGTCGCATGTCCCATTGTCTGAATTAGCTTGGGACGCTTATTTAATGACTTATTAATCAACCTCAGTCAGTCAATAGTGCATCACATTGAATTTCTAAGCAACAGAGGCAAAGGATTTTTCTTCCCTGGAAGCTGTGGGGCAGGCCTTAACAATATGACTCTGTTCAGACATCCATCCACAATTCCATTACACCCACGGTTCTATTAAGAAAGGTCGGCTCAGGTGAGCCCACTGTCAGCAGCTGGAAAGTTGTGGGAATAGATGCACTTAATTGCTTTGTTGTTCCTATCTCTGTGCCTGCTTAGAATTCTGGCATACCCAACTCCAGAGACACTAAATCTGCATTTAGGTTTCCAGGAAGTGGGTCTGGATTCCTACCTCGAAGCTGCCCTAATTACTATTACTACAGATGACCACCTGAACAACTCTTCATAAATCAGTAGCAAGTGATGGGTATTCTAATTACTTTACCACCTATTCCACTTCTACTACTGTCTTGGGTTCAAGCAGGCAGTTGGTCAGTGAATACATCATTTGATTAGGCCTTCACAGCTCCTAAGTGCAGACATGGGACACCACTACCGTGCCTTTAGCTGCACACAATGAGGAGAAGCTGAAATGCATTTGTGTCTGCCAAGTTGTTCATCTGGAGTCACCTGGCAGGCCACGAGCTGCCCATGCCAGGCTCCATGACGCAGACAACAGCCCAGCCTAGCACTTCTTCAGAGCCTCAGGTGACTGT